GTAACTTTTTCCATTTTTTTAACTTAGAATGAAAGGAGGAGGAGGTATGCCAATATTCTATTGGATTTGTATCTTTTCTACCTGCTCCCCCTTTTTTAGGCTCTTGGTTGATGTCATCTTTTAAAAAATTCATGTGTGTGAGTGCGTTGCACACGAATTCACCTGCATTTTTGCTATTCTCCAACAATTGAAAAGAACTAAGATTAATTTCTAACTTTGCACCATCGACTATGCTGGTGTATTAATATATGAACTTGTCAATTTAGACATTGTTAATCATAATGCCATGTATGGGGGTTTTCTTTTCTTCTCTTTTTTTAGTTTGTTAAGTGGTTGCAAGATAATTCGTTCCTGTTATGTGCTAATCACTTTATGGCATGATGTCCATTCCAAGGTGCTAAGCTTAATTATGTTATTCATCTCATTTGACTTTGGGTACAGGTCAAAGTGAATAGAAGGGGAGATGATACCAAATATGTGATTAAGGTATCACCTTTATAGACAGAATGGATTGTGCTTTCTTGTTTTGTTCCTTTTTCTTTATATCACCAATTCATAATTGGTTTTAACAATGATACATATTGATGAGTTTGGGAGTGCTGATGTCCTATGAAGTTAGTTTGGTTCCATTTTGTTCTTTAGAATATTTAAAGCTGGTAAAGGCTATAATCAACCTGTTGTAAATTGAGTAATCATGAAAATGAATTAGTAGGCATTAAATGATACTAGGAATTTAATAAACTACAGTTCTATGGGACCTTATATATTAACATATATATTCAATGTTGTAGATAATTTTCATTTTCCTTGATGCAGGGTAACACTACGTTTCCGCAAGCACACACAGACTCTTGTATTAGGACATCATGTTTTGTGCCATCCTGCATACTTCAAATTGACTTGCAAATAATTTCCTTGATAACCATTGGAAAAACTGCTAAATTCCTCACTCTCCCGAGCCCAAATCCACCAATTGTTTACTGCATGTTCTCAACAAAGATCTATAGTGTTTGGTAAATGTCATGGTGCAGTTGGAGCACTTGTGGGAGGTAGCATTCAATTGGTCTTGGTTTGTGCTAATCTACGTTTTGAAAGATGTGAAACTGTATCTGTGGTATTATTTCACAATCTTTCATTTTTTACTGCTGTGTTTAGTTCTTAAACTTCCTTCATCTATATTTCTCTTTTCCACCCTTTTGTTATGAAAATTCATGGATCCTTCATCTAAATTCTCTTAGTTTCTAATCTTCCTTAATCTATATACTAGGAAGCACGGACACTCCAAAATGGGCGAAGAATCCCTGTCCGACACGTGTCGGACACGGACACGCGTCGGACACGCCCCGACACGTGTCGGACACGCCAAAAAACGTGTCTGGAATTTTTTTTATTTTTTTTAATTTTTGGACACGGCTCGGACACGGCTCCAACAGCTCGGACACGGTTTGGACACACTTTTCTGGAATTTTTTTTTTTTTTTTTAAAATTTTTAATGGTGATATGTTATTTTTAATTTTTAATTTTTAATGCTGATATGTTCTAGTTTTTGTTTTGTACTATCCTAAAGATGCTGATATATATATATATACTAACCTAAAGATGCCACAATTCGCCGTGTCCGTGTCCTAAAGATGCTGATATATATATATACTAACATATCAGTGATATATATATATATTCCAACCTAAACATATCAGTGTTTTTTTTTTAAAATTATTAATGCATATATATATATATATATATATATATATATATATATATACTATTCGCCGTGTCCGTGTCCTAATTTTTTTGGATTTGCCGTGTCGCCGTGTCCGTGTCGTGTCGTGTCGTATCCGTGTCCGTGCTTCTTAGTCTATATATATATTTTTAATAATTTATCGATATATTCTCAATAAATTCACCTGATTGTAAAGGTTTTTATTTATATTCTTTAAAAGTTGAATTTAAAGTTACATTATTCAGCACCTTGTGTAATCAATAAGAATTCATTTATAAGCAATCAAATTTTTATATATAAAAGATTTCAGGGTGTATTGTTACTGTATTGGAGGCCACTAGGGTTTCAGGGGGAAAACTAGGGTTATTAGATTCCAATGATTGATTTTGAAAATATTTAAATTCAATAAATTTGCTGTTTTCTCATTGCTTATTATCGGAATAGTAGGGGGGCATATTCTATCCTTGTTTCTCTATTAGTTTTCAGTTCTTCTCTTCAGTGCGGAGTAGAGCTGTTTGGTAGCTTGCAAGGTGATGCCTTGAGATCACGGGTTCAAATCCTGTCTCCGCCACATTTTCATTTCATTCTCTGTTTTTGTTTTTCCGCCAGTGCATAGGAGGTTTTTTTTTGGGTGTGTTCGCTCTTTGAGTAGTTGTTGGTTGCTCTTACTTTTTCCATAGTTTGTCTTGTAAGGATTTCAAGACAATTTTGGACCACAGCTTGATGTGATGTTACAGAAATTAGAGAATCCATCTCTACAGGTCTGCTTAAAAGTCTCATTAGGTTTTGGCTATATCTAGTTAGAAGCCAAATGGGTCCCCTTGGATTTGCTGTTGTGAATGATACACACACACATACATATTTTCCCAGCATATTATCTATAATAGATTTGCCGATAAAATTAGACATATTACTGAATTTTCTGAAAAATTTAATCTTAGAAACTAGAAAGTGACCATTGTTTAATACATAAACTAATATTTGGAATTTTAATATCCATGGTATGCTCTTGATAATCTGTTTGTTATGGCAGCAATTTATCCTCTTCCTCATCTGTATTAAAAGATTGCTTATTCATATTTCTTCTAATGTGAATGCAATATTGTTATGGTAATCTGTGAATTAAAAACTTAAGTACGCTTCAGGTGGAACGAAGAGGAAATATGTTACTCATTAAATTGATCACTGTAGTCTTTTGCATAGTGAACGTAGTACCATCGTAGAGTCAAAAGCTTGATTAACTTTTTGACATAGTTATGGACACGTTGCGTGTATGTAATCTGTGTGTGGGTGGTTTCTAGGTCTTTTTAGGTGGTTGCTGATTAAATTTACCAAATACCACCGTTGTTACCTGCAGTACTCCTGAATGTTGAATTTGTTATATATCATACTTCACTTTTTCTGAGATTGAGTTATTGTTCCCTAATTTAACCTTGGACTGAATTAACGGAACATGACTTTTCTACTATCATGATGACTAATTCATTTAATATTCTTGCCTTTCAAGTGAAGAAGTGTCTTCTTTTCCTATTTTCTTATCATTACAGTTTTCATTTTTCATTTATTTATTTATGTTGATTGTAAAATGCAACAATATTGTGTATTTGGTAGCGATTCTTAATTTCTGATTAACCTTTTTTTTTTTTTCCACAAATATTTCTGATGAACATTGTTGAGCTTCAGGACAGAATTAACTTTTCTCTCTTTCCTTTTCTTTAATATCCTTGCCTTTCAAGTGAAGAAGTGTCCTTTTTTATTTTTTTTTATCTCTCATCCCTGTAGCTCTTCTCCTTCTCTGTTAGGGCACCCTGTCACATTTGCCTAAACAAGAGGCTAAGTACACGTCTAAGATTTTGAACTCTCAATCTGTTGAGGAAGTGTTTTCTAACCATTCGATCACGGCTAAGGTTTTTTTGAGAATTTTCAAAATGCCATTCATGGCTGCTTTTGTATTTTTGTTGAATTAATGATTAAGTTATTAGTAACGAATTGATATGCAATTCTTTTTGTTCATTCTATTTAAAATGATTTAATCTTTAAATTTGTGAATGTAATGATCATCCGTTGTTCATAAAATGATTTGATTTTAAATGAGTTCTTATAGTTTATGATTGATTTTTTTAGGATTCATTGCCTTGAATTTAATGTAGTATGTGGTAGAAAATAATGTGCTGAACGAACAAAGTATGTTTGCTCATTCTTTTATTTATTTTTTCTTCTAGTTTGATTTAATCTATTTGATGTCACTCAGCACCAAGTTTTTTAGTAGCAGGTCAACTACTTCTGGCGTCCATACCACTCTGAATATTTTTTGTTATTCGTACAGTTAAATATTGTTTGCTCATAGTGATTTACGCGACACTGAAGAAGTTCTGTCTCATTTTTTTTTAGTTTACTCTTGCGTGTTGTTATTCCTATTTTATATGTATATTTGAATCATGATATACTGTTATGTGTATTTTTTATTTATATTTTTTATTGTGTTGGTGATATAGTTCTCCATGAAGCAGATAGATGTTGGGTTTTCGAGGTTGAAATTGCTTTACAATTGTGTTTGTCTATTATGTTTTTTTATCCTGTTTGGATTGGGCTGAAGTCTTGGATATTTGATTTCATTGTGGTGTTCCACCTTGTAAGGTGATTAGGCCATTTCATTTGATGAGTTCTTATGTGTATATATATTTGTTAAAATATATTTAACACACTTGTCTTTCTTGCAAGAATGTGGCAATTTATAGACATTTTTTTTTGTTGACTCAATTGTCGACATTATGAATTGAATGCAGTAGTCATTGAATAATAGAAGTGAGAGTTATGAAGAGGCATTATCATTGCTCTTGGAGAGTTCATCTTTCTGATTTTCATTCTAGTTGCGAGGAGCAGACCATCACTATTTTCGCCTTGTATTTTATGAATCATTTGGTATAAATTATTTTAGTTGACCAACGAATCAGAAAAGCCATGTTTCTCAGAGTTGTTTGCAGGGGCCTTTCCGGTTAAGTGATTTCCTAGGTTTGTGTGATCTTATGTTTATTGTGACATTCTTTTTCTTGAAGCTAAATGATACTATTTTTTAGGTTGGAATGTCTTGGTTGATACCATTTTCGTTTAGGCCTAAGAAGCACGGACACTGACACTGACACGGGTACGATACTGCACGGACACGCCGATACGGCAAAATCCAAAAAAACAGGACACGGACACGGAGGGATACATTAATAAAATAATAATATATTCTTTATTATATATAAATTTTTAATTAAAACCTGTTTAAATTAAACCCACCAAATAATCCATACTTCTGTTTAGAAATAAAAAGGCCCACAGCCCAAATTTCATTAAAAGAAGAATACAAACAAAAGAAATATATATCTTTATATTCAACACGAGTAGAATGGTTATGGTTATATTTGTAACCAAACAAGCCTTGAGAAAAAAACAAGATAATGATGCAATTGTATCCTCTTCTCTCTCTTATTCATGCACATGACTCGTAGGTTCTCCTCAGCCGAGCATTTCTTCCATCTCCATCTCTTAACCTCACTTGATGTTCATTCATGGCGTCGTTTCTCTCTCTCTATCTCTCTCTTCCAGGGGTTACCCTCTCATCCCTCCATTTCTTCGCAATTCCACATATTTAGATCTGTTATTTCTTTTTTTTTTTTGATAAGTAAAAATATTTAGATCTGTTATTTCACTTTGAATAAATGCACACGCGCGCATATTAAAAAAACTGAACAGCGTGTCCTCCGGTGTGTCATGCCCCGATCCGTCGGCGTGTCCATCCTAAAAATTAAAATAAAATAATCAGACACTGCTATAGCGTATTGGACACGTGTCCGATGCGGGTACGGCACACCTGTGAGACGTGTCGGTGCTTCACATGTTTAAGGTTTTAACTGACTTGACTGTATATCTTAATATTTTTGTTTCTTTTGGGGCTTGATAGGTGACTTGCAGTTTGTACCCATGTCACAATATATAATGCTGAACAAAATTTCTAGAGCACTCGGTGCACCTTATATGAACTGTATATTCTATTTTTTAGTACTGCCTTATGGCAAAGACCCTTTAAAGTGTTCTTTTTTGTGGGTGGGATTTGATTATCTGTTTTTTGTTATTTTATGTTTGTCGTATTTTACTTTTTTGTCTATATAGACTTTGGGCAGCACAGAGGATAACATTCTATCTTGTTTCTGCCTTCTTTTCATGAGGCTGCTGCTTGTGTTTGCCTTTTGCAGTGCTTGTTCGCATTTAATCTCTTCATAGTAGAGTTGATTTTGATTCTATTTTTTGGCAATTGGTTTATTACAAGAAAATGGACATATTGAAGGGGCACAGGTTGAGTTCGTTGGATTGCATTTTTTCTTTTGCTTGCCAACATAATTGCTGAAATTGGGTTGGCTTAAAATGTGACACTACTCTAATCAAGATCCCATTGTCTCATCATAGGAATGCTCTAGGATCTTCACTTAGCATGCTTGAGGTCCCTATAACTTAAGGACAAATATGGCAAACGTGGAGCACATGTTTGTCAGCCGTCTGTGCAGAGAGTTCTGGCAAACGCGGAGCACAGTGTGTCCATACGGAGTTGACTGTAGTTATTCATTCAGTTATGTTAAATGTCGTTTCTGTATCTTGATGTCTGCATGGCTTCTATTTTTGCAGGGGCCTCATTGCTATTGTAGGGTTTGATGGAATAGGTCTTCTTGTCAACCTTCATGTTAGATCATTGTATTTCTGCAATTAGTGATTTTAATTTGTGGTATTTATCTTTTAAAATATTGAAGGTTCGGTAGTATTTCGGAATTTACTTTGATTTGGGGCTTGGTTGCTTATTTCTTGTATTTTTCACCTTTCTTGTATGTCATTCTGTGTTGCAGATAGCCTGTCCCACTGGCTTTCATGGTACTACGTCAGTCCTTTTCCTTGAGAGGCACTAAAATATATCTTTTATCTACGAGTGTTAATGTTGGTGTTTTGTGATTTGGGTTTGATAAGAAATTTTTTGACGATTAGGCTACTAATTATACTGTATATATTATCTTATATCTTATCTGTTAGTGTTGGTGTTGGTACCCTTACTTGAGGATTTTGGTATATCTAGTTGTCGGATCTCATTTAGTTCTCAGTTCCTCTCTTCAGTGCGGGATAGAGCAGTTTGGGAGTTTGCAAGGTCGTCAACTTGAGATCACGGGTTCAAATCCCGTTTCCGTTACATTTTTTTTAAAAATTTTTGATTTTGTTTTTCTGCAATTACGGAGGAATTTTTTTTATTTTTTTTGTATTCACCCTATGTAGTTGTTGGTTGCTCTTTACTTTTTTCCATGTTTGTGTTACTTTAAGATCGACTTGCTGAAAGTTAGAGAGCCTTTTGTGCGGTTGGACTTCATACTGTTATTGGACTGTAACCTGTGATTATTTGAAAACGGAAGAGAGAATCTAATTATCTGTTTTTGTTGTTTGTTCTATCCTCTTGTGAATCTTTTGCTTGAACTCTCTTTTTGGTCTTTACAGGCACTTAGTTATTTTGCTTGTTTGTAGTGGATTTCAAGCAGACGGGCTTTTGGAAGTGCTACAGGACCTCTAATTGATTACGTAGCAGGCAATTATCAATCTTTGGCTTTTTTCATGTTGCGAAGGATATATAGCTAATGCTGTTAGAGCGCCTTTTTCTTATAAGCTTATCTTGTAAGGGTTCCAAGACAACTTTGGATGGCTGCTTGATGTGTTGAGAATTCATCTCTACGTGCCTGCTTAAAAGTCTCATTTGGTTTATCTATATTTGGCTAGAAGCAAAGGGGGTCCTTGGATCTGCTGTTTTTAATACACAAATATATGTTTTCCCCACCCCCTGGTTTCTGCATACTATATCTATCTTAGATTTGCTGAAAAAAATTAAGATATATTTTACTGAATTTTTTGAAAAATATAATATTAGAATCTAGAAAGCAATCATTGTTAATTCATAAACTAATATTTGGAATTTTAAAATCCTTGGTCTGTTCAAAATAATCTGTTACTGATTTTTTTGGAAAATATAATCTTAGAAATTTGAAAGTGACCATTGCTAATTTATCAACTAATTTTGGGAATTTTAATCTCCTTGCTTTTTTCATAATAACCTGTTTGTTATAGCAGCATTTTGTCCTCTTTCTCATTTCGTATTAAAAGATTGCTTATTCATTTCTCTTCTAATCTGAAATCTATATTGTTATGGTAATCTGTGATTTAAATATTGATCGTTGTAGTCTTTTGCATAATGAACATAGTACTATCTTAGAGTTAAAAGCTTGATTAACTGTTTGAAACTTTGATGAAGTTATGTACACATTGCGTATGGCATCTATGGGTGGTTCCTAAGGCTTTTTAGGTTGTTGCTGATTAAATTAATCAAAAACTTTCATTGTTTCCTGTAATACTCCTGAATGTTAGAGTTGTCATATATCACTGAACTTTTTCTCACACTGAATTGTTGTCTGCTAAACTAACCTGCCACTTAAATTAGCCGGACATGGATTTTCTCCTATCAGGATGACTAATTCATTAAATATTCTTGCCTTTCAAGTGAAGAAGTGTCTTCTTTTCCTATTTGCTTGTCATTACAATATTTATTTATTTATGTTGACTGTAAGAATTTTATGCAACAATGTTTGTGTATCTGGCAGCGATTCTTAATTTCTGATCAACATTGATGTGCTTGAGGATAGAATTACCGTTTGGTTTTTGAGTATAGTCATCGCTGTATCATTTTGCCCGCTCTATTTCTAGGAGTATTGGCAGTTTTTGAAGTTTTGATGTTTGTTGTTTTGATAGCTGGACTCCTATGTGGAGAAGTTATTGGCATTCTAGGTTTTGTTGTTTGCAGTTTTCATCACTCGTGGAAAATATGTACATAATCTCTGATAGCTGGACTGATATTTTGGTTGGCTTCTAACAAATTGGATGTTTTGCGATCTCTGCAGCCATATCTTGCAAAATGTTGAATGGTCCTTGATAGGTGCGTTTGCAGTCTTGTTTCTTGTAAGTTTTGCTTGCTGTTGCCATTAAATGATCTGAACATGCTTAATAGTGTAAAAGGAACAGTGGGATCATCTCCCCTTACACATCATTGATGATTTAAGACTGTCCTGATGAGGGGCTGAAGAAATCATTATGAATCTTCTCTCTTTCCTTCTCTACTTTCCTTGTAGCCGTGACCTTGGAGATAGTTTCGGTGGTTTAATGAATTACGAAGTCTGGGCTCTTTAGAGTGCCCGTTGTCCAGCTGGACGTGAACCGTGAATAGTTTCTTTTTCCTCCTCCTCTTTTGATTTCTTAGAAGTAATTAAGTTCTTATCTATAATTTATAACTTTTCTAAGGTACAAAATTTATGAATTTTTTACTCTGTAGGGTTCCATGCAATGGCTTCGCTGTGGTACAGAGCTCATGAATGGTTGTGCTTTGAAGGGTTTCGTGCAAAGGTTCTACTCTGCTCGGTGCTTTCTTTCTTTCTTTCTTTCTTTCCTTCCTTTTTGTTTGTTTGTTTGTCAATTCTTCACTTGCAGTTCTTTCATGAGATAATTCTGTGTATTTTGTGCTTAGTGCTTTGTACTTTGTACTTGTTCCTTGTGTAATCAATAAGAATTCATTTATAAGCAATCCCATTTTTATATATATCATTATTAGATTCCAATGATTGATTTTGAAAATTTTAAATTTCCATGATTTGTTGTTTCTCTTTGGTTATTATCGGAATAGTCGAGTGAGCATATTCAATCCTTGTTTGTGTATTAGTTCTCTGTTCTTCCCTTCCGTGCGGAGTAGAGCAGTTTGGTAGCTTGAAAGGTCATCACCTTGAGATCACGGTTTCAAATTCTTTATCCGCTACATTTTCTTTTTATTCTGGGTTTTTATTTTTCTTCAGAGTATTTTTTTTCCCCCACAATTTGAATAGTTGATTGCTCTTTACTTTTTCCCTTGTTTTCAGTCCCATTACCTGAAGATGAACTTGCTGAGCCTGAAGTTGAAGAGCCTTTTTTGTATGGCTGGGCTTCATAATGTCAGTGGACTACATCCTGGGATCAGTTGAAAACAGAAGAGAGAATCTAATTATCTATTTTTTTTCTTTTGTTCTATCCTCATATGATTTTTTGGCTCGAACTCTTTTTTTTTTTAACTCTCTTTTTTGTGTTTACAGACACTTTAGTTATTTTGCTTGTTTGTATTGGATTTCAAGCACACGGGCTTTTGGAAGAGCTAAAGAATTTCTGGCTGATTAGATAGCCAGGCAACTATCAATCTTTTGCTTTTTAAGTATATAAGCATGATGCAAAGGATATATAGCTAATGCTGCTAGAGCACCTTTTGCTTGTTTACTTTTTTGTAAGGGTTCCAAGACAACTTTGGATGGCTGCTTGATTTGTTGTTATAGAAATTAGATAATCCATCTCTACATGTCTGCAAAAAAATAGGTTTGTATGTAACTAGTTAGAAGCTAAACGGGTCCTTGGATCTGGTGTTGTGAATGACAGACACGCATGTATATATTTTCTTCTTTTTTTCAGTGTACCATCCATCGGAGATTTGCTAAAAAAAGTTAAAGATACATTTTACTGAATATTCTGAAAAATGTAACTTTAGAAACTAGAAAGCGGTATTGTCAATTCATTAACTAATATTTGGAATTTTAGTATCCTTGGTTTTGTTCATAATACTCTGTTTGTTATAGCAGCAATTTAACTTCTTCCTCATCCGTATTAAAGGATTGCTTATTCTGATTTCTTCTAATGTGAATGTTATATTGTTATGGTAATCTGTGAATTAATAACTGAAGTACACTCCAGGAGGAACAAAGAGGAGATATGTTACTCATCTAAAATTGATCATTGTAGTCTTTTGCAGAGTGAACGTAGTACCATCTTATAGGCAAAAGCTTGATTTACTCTTTGACTGAGTTATGTACACATTGTGTATATGTCATCTGTCATCCGTGTGTGGGTGTTCCTAGGTCTTTTTAGGTGGTTGCTGATTAAATTAACGAAAAACCTTCATTGTTACCAGTAGTACTCCTGAATGTTTAGTTATTGTCCCCTGAATTAACCTGCCACTGAAGTTAATGGAACATGATTTTTCTCCTATCATTGTCTAATTCATTAAATATTCTTGGCTTTCAAGTGAAGAAGTGTCTTCTTTTCCTATTTGCGCATCATTATAGTTTTCATTTATGTTGATTCTAAGAATTTCATGCAACAATGTTGTGTATTTGGCAGCAATTCTTAATTTCTGATGAACATTGATGGGCTTGAGGACGGTAGAAGTGTTTGGTTTAAAGTATTGTTATTTTTTTTTTGATAAATAAAATTTTATTAAAAAATGCTCAAAAGGGGAGCGGATCCCAAGAAAAATACAAAAGACCACAAAGGCCTCAAGCCTTCAAGGAGGCCAAAAAGTCATCAATCTCCTCTAACGATCTATGATCTCTCCCTGAAACCTAACAAAAAAGAGTGGAAAGAATCGAGAATTTAAGCACCGAAATCGACGTTGCCTTTCCTTCAAAATATCTCCTATTCCTTTCAAGCCAAATACACCACCACACACAAAGCGGCGTAGCCCTCCATGCATCTTGACTGTGAGCACCCACAGGGCAACGTCTCCATGCATCAATCAACCCTCTAGCGGATCCTAGCATAACCCAAGAAGACCCAAATAAGCCAAGCATCAAATCCCAACACTCTATAGCCAAAGAGCAATGAATGAGAAGGTAATCCACTGATTCCTCATCACGAAGACACATAAAACAATGATTGACCACCACCTGGCTTCTCCTTCTCAAATTATCTTGGGTTAAGATCCTACCCAGAACCGAAGTCCAAACAAAGAAAGCCACCTTGAGAGGAGCCTTAGAACGCTAAACAGACTTCCGAGGAAAACGAACACCAGGATTAAATAAGAGACACCTGAATAAAGACCTCACCTCAAAACGCCCCTTGAAGTTTGCAACCCAAGACCAACAATCCGAATCCTCCTCCACAAGCCTCTGGTGATACAACAGCTCTAAGAAATGAATGGCCTCCTCGATCTCCCAATCCTGAAAGAAACGCCTGAATCGAACATCCCAAACCAGTCTCCCATTATCAAGATGATAACAATTGACTACCATGGCCTGCCTATCCGAAGCAATCCTGTAAAGCTATGTAACGACCCACTCCACCACATGGTATGATATTGTCCGTTTTGAGCCTGAGCCCACACGGTTTTGCTCTTGGGCTTCACCCCAAGAGGCCTCATACCAATTGGAGATGATACACTTACATATAAGCACTTCACCTTTCCTCTACCCAGGCGATGTGGGACTTGTGCACATGTAGCTCGCCAGTGTGGTAGCCTGATAGTGTCTCTTGCACCCGCCTACGGCACACCCGCCCACAAGGTCATCACAATCCACCCCTCTTGGAGGCCCGACGTCCCCGTCGACACACTTCCAGCTGGGTCAGGCTCTGATACCATTTGTAACAACCTACTCCACCACATGGTATGATATTGTCCGCTTTGAGCCTGAGCCCGCATGGTTTTGCTCTTGGGCTTCACCCCAAAAGGCCTTATACCAACTGGAGATGATGCACTTACATATAAGCACTTCACCTTTCCTCTACCCGCCCACAAGGTCATCACAATAATCACATGGTATGATATTGTCCGCTTTGGGCCTGAGCCCGCACGATTTTGCTCTTGGGCTTCACCCCAAAAGGCCTCATACCAATTGGAGATGACACATTTACATATAAGCACTTCACCTTTCCTCTACCTAGGTGATGTGGGACTGTGCACCCGTAGCTTGCCAGTGTGGTAGCCTGACAGTGTCTCTCGCACCCGCCCACAGGGTCATCACAATATTTTGTAACGACTCACTCCACCACATAGTATGATATTATCCGCTTTGGGCCTGAGCCCGCACAGTTTTGTTCTTGGGCTTCACCCCCAAAGGCCTCATACCAATTGGAGATGATGCACTTACATATAAGCACTTCACCTTTCATCTACCCAGGCAATGTAGGACTTGTGCACCCGTAGCTCGCCAATGTGGTAGCCTGACAGTGTCTCTTGCACCAGCCCACGGCACACCCTCCCACAAGGTCTTCACAATCCACCCCCCTTGGAGGCCCGACGTCCCCGTCGGCACACTTCCGGCTGGGTCAGGTTCTGATACCATTTGTAACGACTCACTCCACCACATAGTATGATATTGTCCGCTTTGGGCCTGAGCCCGCACGGTTTTGTTCTTGGGCTTCACCCCAAAAGGCCTCATACTAATTGGAGATGATGCACTTACATATAAGCACTCTACCTTTCATCTACCTAGGCAATGTGGGACTTGTGCACCTGTAGCTCGCCAGTGTGGTAGCCTCACAGTGTCTCTTGCACCCGCCCACGGCACACCCGCCCACAGGGTCATCACAATCCACCCCCTTGGAGGCCCGACGTCCCCGTCGGCACACTTCCGGCTGGGTCAGGCTCTGATACCATTTGTAACGACTCACTCCACCACATGGTATGATATTGTCCGCTTTGGGCCTGAGCCCGCATGGTTTTATTCTTGAACTTCACCCCAAAAGGCCTCATACCAATTGGAGATGATGCACCTACATATAAGCACTTCACCTTTCATCTACCTAGGCGATGTGGGACTTGTGCACCCATAGCTCGCCAATGTGGTAGCCTGACAGTGTCACCCACTCCACCACATGGTATGATATTGTCCGCTTTGGGCCTGACCCACTTCTATTTTTCAGGTATTCGCCAGTATCAGGCTTAGAGTTTGATCGTGTTGATGCAGATACAGACACTCACTCTTCCGGTTACATAAGATTTCCTTTCTATTTTAGTTTTGGATTTTAATTCTGTAAATTTATTTAAAGTTTTGGAATTAGGGGTCCACTAGGTGGATTCCCGAGTTATACAGATTTAAACTATATTAATTTATTATTTAAGGTTCGAGGATTTTCATTTTTAGTTTTATTCTTATTATCTTATTCTTAATTCAGTTTTATTCTTGCTTGTTTACATATTAATTGTCTGATATCCCTCGGATCTGTGCTCGGACTTGATCACCCGTGACTCTAGAATCGAGGGGTATCACAAGCTGAGGAAAAGCGAGAGCGGGAGGAACATCTCCACACCACAAATCCTCCCAAAAATAAATCCTCCTCCCATCTTTAAGTCGAAACCGAATGTGTTTGGAAAATTCATCCCAACTCTTCTGAATAAATTTCCAGACCCCTACCCCCGAGGATCCCTCACTTCCAGAGAACTCCACCCTCCTTTCATCTCCCCAAAACGACAAGCCATAACCCTCCTCCAAAGCCAATGTCTCTCTACACCAAACCTTCACAACTATTTCCCAAGGAGGGCCCTATTAAAAGGCACCAATCTACGGAGACCCAACCCATCATTCCGAATTGGCCTGCAAACCTATTCCCATCGCACCAAATGAAATTTAAACTCTTCACCTCCACCCCCATAGAAAATTACGCTGTAACCTCTTAATCCTCTCCGCAACTGAAGAGGGAATTTAAAAAAAAAGAGAGAGAAAATAAGTGGGAAGGCAAGAGGGGGTGCTCTTAATCAGAGTGAACTTGACGCCCTTGGAAAGATACTGCTTCTTTCAACCTGCCAACCTTTTCTCAAATCTATCCACCACTGGGTCCCAAAACCCCACACACCTCGAAGGAGCACCCAGAGGCAAACCTAAGTAAGAAATGGGAAATAAACCAGTCCGACAACCAAGAATATCAGTAAAAGCCTCAATCTCAGGGACCTCTCCAACCGGCACCAAAACACTCTTGCCCACATTCACCTCAAGGCTGGAGACAACTTGGAACTAAATCAAAACACATCTCGGATATCTAATCTGGGACACATTCGCATCACAAAGAACTAAAGTGTCATCAGCAAACATCAAATGAGAGATCTCCAACTGAGAAACAGTATCCCTGTCCACTCGAAAGCCCCTCAAAAGACCCAACTCGGTAGCCATTCTCATCAATCTACTAAGGGCCTCCATCACAAACAAGAACAAGAAGAGGGAGAGAGGATCCCCTTGTCTCAAGCCCCTTGAGCTAGAGAAAAAATCGGTAGGAGCACCATTAACAAGGATTGAAAAGCGAGCACTGGAAATACAAAAGTACATCCATCTCCTCCACTTATCACTGAATCCCATCCTCTCCATCAGGTAAAAAAGGAAGTTCCAACTCACATGGTCATACGCCTTCTCAATGTCCAACTTACAAAGAACACCCGGGACCCCACTACGCAATCTGTAGTCCACACATTCACTTGCAATAAGGACTGAATCCAAAATTTGACGGCCTCTGACAAAAGCGTTTTAAGAGTCCGAAATGATGCCATCCAAAACTTTCCTCAATCTTGAAGCAAGCACCTTGGCAATCAACTTGAAGATACAACCCACCAAACTAATAGGGCAAAAATCCTTAACATTCAACGCTCCCCCCCCTTTTTCGGAATGAGAGCAATGAACGTGGCATTCAAGCTTTTCTCAAAAGATCCACGAGAATGGAAAGCATGAAAAGTGCCCATCACCTCCCATTTAACCACCCCCAGCACTCCAGAAGAAATCTCATGGTAAAATCATCTGGACCTGGGGCTTTATCCCCATTGCAACTCTTCAAAGCAATCAAAACTTCCTCCTCAGAAAAAGGCAACTCTAAGCCCAAGCACTCCTCCTCAGAAATAGAGTCAAATTGCAACCCTTCAAGCAAAGGTCTCCACTTAACAGTCTCTGTGAACAACTTCTCAAAAAACTTTACAAATCTTTTGCAGATCTCTTCATCCTTGCAATAAATAACCCCTTCAACCCGAATCCTCCCTATATGATTGCCTCTTCTACGAGCATTGGCCAATCTGTGGAAAAATTTTGTGTTTCTATCCCCCTCCTTAAGCCACAAGGCTCGAGATTTTTGCCTCCACGAGATCTCCTCCATGATTGCAATCTCAGTAAACTCCGCCTTGCATTTCGCCCTCCTAACCTTCAAAGCTTCCACCAAATCCCCTTGACCCTCCATCTGGTCTATAGCAGCAATCTCAACAAGAGCCCAATTTTTTTTCCATTCCAGATTCCCAAAGACCTCTTTATTCCAAGTTTTAAGATTCACATGACTAGGGGTGCCAACTACACCATACCTAGAGATGGCAATTTGTGATACCCCTCGGATCCGAGACACGGGTTGATCAGGCCCAGGCCCAAACCCGAGGGAATATCAAACAATTAATATGTTATAGCGAACATGGAATACAAAATGAATTACGAAATGAAAGTTTAAAGCTGAAAAGAAACTAAAAGATACTCCTTAAATAATTAAATACTTAAAGTTGATAAACCAAATATCCATAATTTGAACAGCTCGGGAATCCATCTCTAGTGGACCCCTAATAAAAATCTCACATTAAATGAAAGTAAAAAGAAAGATAAAACCCAAATCCAAGATCTGGAAAGAAATCCTACATCGTCGGTAGAATGGAAGATCGTCTCTGCACAGCACGAACAAGCTCAAGCCTGGAACTGACGTACACCTGAAAAATAGGAGTGGGTCAGGCCCACGAACAAGTTCTATCCTACTACAATTCAAGCAGAGACTCGATACGCATGTACATTCTAACCAATTCAACAATAGCTAATAGTCCATACATATGTATAATCACACTACAGGACTCTCACTGGACTATGGAGAAGGTCTCAACCTGAATAGAAGGTAACATGCGAAAACGCACCCATAGGTGGGCATGAGTACCTAGACCTAACAGGGTACACCACAACCTCCCATATCCAGCTACGCATCCTACTGCATATACGCTCCCTAACCGACGACTTAGAGACTCAAGCTCATATCGCGATACCATAAAAATATATATAAAGTCCGATCCTAACTATCCATCAAGAATCCAGTTAGTCATTCAGCTTGTGCAGCTTCTTTGACTTGAGCATAAGTAGGATTTATTTTGAAATCCATTCCCTTATTCCATGTAGGTAGGATGTAGTATTTTTAAACTAATCCGTCCCTAGTATGTCACCGTCCCATACCGGTGCACACAATCCATCCATCCAGTAGTTGGCAATACAAGTATATATGTAAATACCAACTAATCCATAAATTCCACAATTGATAATAATATATTACATATAGGCATCAATTGTTCCACAATAACTGGCGAAATTTAAATAACTGTTTACATTAATTAATTCTATACAAGGCATAATAGAACTTTGTAAACTAAAATGCTTGTCTTATACCACCGTTGCATGATTCTCTCATAATTTATTGCATAGAGAATAAGTATAGACATCCTTTAATCCGTGCTAATCATAATCAAAATATATATTTGGACATGCTTAGTTTATACCGATACATAATTATCCAAGAATTGATATTATATTTAACACATGTATAAATCAATTTATCCTCTATAAGCATATAATAATTCTGTAATCTGACATGCTTATATTTCACCACTGGAACATGATTTAAATCTATAAAATCATTCTCAACAAAATTGCTAAAACCATGTTGAACAATTTTGTAGCTTCACATTTAAACAGTATACTAACTTGTGCAAGAATTCTATAATGTTCAAACTATAATACAAGGTGATTAATTATGCATTAACAAGGCTCTTGGGAGATTTAATTTGCTCTTAGACACCTATGAAAACCTCCATTAAGGCTTTGAATTAAACTGGAACCGTTAAAATCCAAGTACCTAAGCAAAACTCTCGCTGAAACTTTAAAAAAATGGAAAAACCACATTGGAGCCGGCTCCAAAAATAAGTGGAGCCGCCTCCACCCTATTGGAGCCGCCTCCAATAACATATGGAGCCGGCTCCACTTCAATGGAGCCGCCTCCATTGAAGGGTGGAGCCGCCTCCACTCCTCCCAGCCTCCGTCTTCTCCGACGCCGGTTATTTTCTGACATTTTGCTCGTCTGCCCTCCATTCTTAAAGCTCCTAGGTGTCTAATACTAGGTCTAGTGTGTTCCAGAATTAGTTAAACTCTTAATTCATCAACCAACATCAATTAGACTACAACTTATGCAAGAAGGACCTAAACCGGAACAACTACTCACTCATGATCATACTGTTTCAAGTGATCACCCATGCGAACCAGATTAAGTTTAATATTTTCCCAAGGTGTTCCAGCGTTGATTAAATCCTTAATTATTTAATTAAAATCAATTAAAACATAGAGTAAAACATGGGTTTCACAAGAAAGAGGTCAAAGTAAACAATAACCAACTTATAAACACATTTAGGTTTAGCTATTTCAGACATGCAAACCCAGTTTAATTTTAAACCTTTATATATCCCTGGAATTGTATTAGAGATGCAAAGAACACGAGCCTAAGGGAGAGAGTTAGGATTAGAACTTGCCTTTGAGATTTCGGTTAAAAATCCCAACGTCGTCTTCGTAAATTTCTCCGGCAAACGGCCGTAATCCTCCTATGTTCCTTCTCTGCCTCCACTGTCGTGAATAGGGTTTCCTAAAAACCCTAGGCAGAACTTAATACGTATATTTATAAGTTTATATAAAACCTAAATTCAATCCAAACCCTACAGTGAACCTAGCCGGCCCATAGAAAATCCTAATTAAATCTACGTCGGCTACCAAGACTTGACTTCTAAAACAAAACCCTAAAGTAAACGTTAACTAAACCCTAATGTAAATCAATTAAGCATTTAAAAGAATTAAAATACAAAAATACAATTAACTAATCAATTAAATAAATTAAAACACCATAATCCAAACAAGTCACAATTAAGTCAAATCCGTAAAAAGTCAATTAAACATAATTCAAAAACAATTAATGAACAGATAATGAACAGAAAACAATTAATTAATTAAACATAATTCAAAAACAATTAATGAACAGATAATGAACAGAAAACAATTAATTAACAGAAAGCGATTAAACACAAAATACCGAGACTATCCTTTTGAAAATTAGGGGTATTACACAATTTGACCCGCCCCACCTCGCCCAGCTTTTGGTGGTTTTGGGGGACCGTTTTACTTATTTGGGTGGGGATGGTTTGATGCAATAAAAACCAGCGTGGGTTTGGTGCGGGGGCGATGGGAGGTCGCCCCGCCCCATTTAGATAAACAAATTACTTAAGTACCCTTATTTTATTAATATATATCTTTTTCACTATATATTAATTACCCCATATAACAATATTAAAGTAACAAATGAATTTTATTAAAAGAAAAATTGCAATGGTGAAGAATTGAAGATGAGGAAAAAAAAAAAAAAAATCCATTTCAACAATAATTAAATTATGGTCTTAAACGGGGCTGGGCGGATACCCGCAGAGGTAAAAATGTTAAACGGTTACGGGGGTGGGGTGGAAAGTTCCCCCATTTTGGCGGTTTTGGGTGGGGACGGGGGCAGAGTTTTTAAACAGTTGCTGGGGCGGGGGAGGGTACACCCGCCCAAACCCGCCCCCGTTGCCATCCCTAACCATACCCCTTCCACCAAAGACGGACCCTCTCTAGAAGACCTCAGCCTGTAGCCACATATTCTCGAATCTGAAAGAAGAACGTCTACTATACAACCCGCCACAATCCAACATCAATGGAACATGGTCAAAGATAAGACGAGCCAAAGTAGCTTGAACAACATCAGAGAAACTCTCCTCCCACTCCCTCGACACAAGGAATCTGTCAATCAGAGAAAGGGTAAGGGGAGAGCGACCACTGGACCAAGTAAACGGTCTTTCAACCAAAGGCAAATCGACCAGCCCAAACTCATCAATAAACTCCGAGAAAGCCTTCATATCAAATGTCCACCTACCTCCCGTTGACCTCTCGAACGGAGAGCGAACAACATTAAAGTCCCCTCCAATACACCAAGGCAAACACCATCGATTTCTAATTTCCCCCAACTCCTCCCAAAGCAAGTGGTGTTCACCGTCCTCCAAAGGACCATGAACACCCAAAAAAACCCAATGAACACCATCCTCGACCAAAGCAAGAATGCATGAAACAGAGAAATGCCCAACTTGAGCATCCACTTTAGACACCCATCTGTTATCCCACATGATCAAGATGCCCCCCGAGGAACCAATAGCATCCAAAGCAATCCACTCCACAAATCTCCCACCCCAAAGACTCCTCACAATCCTAGTAGACATCGAAGCAAGTTTGGTCTCTTGGAGGGGTGTTGGCAGTTTTCTAAGTTTTGTTGTTCGCTGTTTCGATGGCTGAACTCCTATGTGAAGAAAGTATCGGCATTGTAGGTTTTGGTGTTTGCAGTTCTCATAACTGGTGGAAAATATGAACATAATCTGTGGTAGCCAGACTCCTATTTGGTTGGTTTCTAAAAAATTGGATATTAAGTTCTCTGCAGCTATATCTTGCGAAGTGTTGAATGGTTGTTGATAGGTGGGTTTGCAGTCTTGATTCTTGTAGGTCATTAAATGATCTGAACATATTTAATAGTCTAAAAGGAACGGTGGGGACATTTCTTCTTTTATTTGTTTTATTTTTTTGGGTAAAGTACAGCCACACCCCCTGAGGTTTGACAAAAGGATACTCAGATGAAACTTACCTATTTTTTGGACAAAGACATCCCCTGAAGGTTCAAAAATGGACAAAGACACCCCTTTATATGAAAAATTGACCAAATTACCCTTTGACCGTTTATGAGACTTTTTTAACTTTACAATTTAATAAATTGGACCAATATACCCTTATGAACAATTTATGCATAAAAAAAAACTTTATATTGTTCACTTTTTTATATATATATATATATTCTTGGTTATTTACTTTATAAATGTCCCAACTTCTTAAAAAATGTAGACGTCTAAAATAATTTTTTGATCCAATACATATATTTTAAATAAATTATATTTTGTTATTACATCTTTTCTTTTTCTTTTTTATTTTTAAATTAAGATGCTTAATTCTTTAATCTAAAAAAATTAAACCAATCTCTTTTCCTTAAAAATAAAAAATATGGTACTAGTATAACTTTATGTATCTTAAATTATATATCAAATATTATGCATT